CAAATGCCATGAGGTTAATCGGTGATTGTGTGCTTCAGCTACATAATATATAGTTTTTGTGAGGCAAACAGAGAAACAGATTTCAGCAAAGTTTACTCAAATTTTTCCTTATTGGAATCTACCCATTATTCAAATAAGACAACAACATCAACAATAACAACAACAATAACAATTACTAAAGGGAGGAGGGAAGAGGTTTATAGAGTACTTCAGTTAGAGGTTAACCCGATGCAGTGTTTAGCCAAGAAAACACCAACGGTAAAGATAGCTACCCATGTAGAATAGGAATAAGGAGATAGACGTTACAACCCAAACGGATGTGTGATTCCTGTGTAGGCAGGTGGGTTTTGAACCTTCTTTCTGGCTTGGGGAAGTGTTAGCAGGGCCCGCAATCAACATAAGACAAAAAAACATTTACCTGTGTATCAGAGTCTTTGAACTGTTCAGAATAATAACTGATCATTTGAAAGACAAACCCACGGTCCAAGTACGTGAAACAGTCCTAAACATTAAAAAAAAGTTCTAGAGTTATTGAAAGAAACGTTCAATTTAAATCGTAGTTCAGTGTGTTCACAGACGAACATAATCTGGAGAGATCTTTTTAATCTAAAACATACCTTAGTGAAACAAGCCAAGTGGAAATTTGCTTCCTAAAAGAGGAGAATAAACGAACTTCAAGTAAATAACGAGGTAAAAATTCATTCTCTGTTTAGAAAAACTGTAAATTCTACTACCTCTGTTACAAGTAGAGCACTTATCAACTGAATGTCGAAGAACCAAAACCAAAGTAATCCCAAAGACCAATCAGAACAAGGGTTTACATTATCATTAGCCAGTGAGAACTCAAAAGTGACAACAAGCAAACTCAAGTTCCTTTCGCACCTGAATAAAGGGAGTAAGTTTCGGAAGAAACTGTGGTGCTACGTCGCCGGCTGGGGGTAACAAGGTAATTTGGTTTTATCAACTGAGTTGATAATGTAAATTTACCACCGTAAAGAGTATCTCAAGCTGAAGTTTCGAGCGTTAGCCTTTCGTCAGAGCGAAAGGATGAATTGAAAATTGTGTGTGTGTGTGTGTTTATATGCAGAAAGTAGAGCTACGCTATTGGTGGAGACATGGTGACGAGAAAAACAAGAATAAATTAGTAGAAAGAAAAGCGTTCGTTGATACCGGGCTACTTTCGACACTCAGTTGACAATTGCTCGTACTATTATAGTGTATAACAACAAAACGACAACAATGAGAGAGAAAATGTATCGTAAAAACAAAACCTTTGCTATTTGAGGCTGATCCTTTAATCTGCTGATGATTTGGGGCACAAAAGCTTGAAGGAAATTCTCCAAACAGCGGTTGTAGCTTTCTGGAAACCAGCTCTCACGATTCATTCTCTACAAATGATCCCAGGCAAAGTTAGTAATAATTTTATGAGCCTGCAGCACAATTCCTTGCTAACTAACTAAGGAGACTCAAAGTCATAACTAAAGAATATCAAGAATATGTGTTATGATGTTAGGTTGTTAAGGGTTAATAGAGGTTTTCACCGCATTTACGACCCTCACGTTAATTTCTCGAACTATCTACTGTGTTCACCGCTTCAAATCCATCGGGGAAAAAGCTAATATACTTTAGCTGTTTGATTAACATGGTCATTATGTTTAAATACAGAACTAAACACTTAATTGTGTTTATAATGCGTGTGATTTGAATGAATGTGACGGTCTAAGAAAGTAAACATAGAAAGAAAATAAAATGTTATTTGAAACACATGTGAAGTTACCTTTAACTTGTCTGACTGCACGAGGGTCTGTGCCATACTCTTCACGATGATCTCGAAGAAAAACCACGACAACTGCAAAGAAAATTACACAGTTCCACGCACACGTTAAAGAAAGCTAAAGGCAACGACCTTCTCTTCGCTCCGTTAGCATGAGTTGTTTTTACCGACATATGAACAAGACGGTGGACAAAGGTTACATCCCAAAATGACAACGACAAAATCACTGTCATCTCTAAAAACTCTGAGTTGATATCGTAACGTACAAACAATTATGCAGACAATTCTTTTCAAACGAAGATGCCCTGCAAAACTCCCAGAACGCAATTCACGATAACACTAGATCACTTTACATTTCCTATGATTAAGTGGAAATCGAAATCGAAGTAATATCTTAGTGAACTTGTGGATATGCTGTTCAGAATATTAGTCGAATATATAGTGATTACACTAAAAAAGCCAATGACGATGTGATTCTAAGGAAAAAAAATTGAGCCGTCGTCCCCACAAGAGTCCTCTATAATTGTTTCGCCATTTTTAACAATTGTTCCATCATCTTTAACAGGATGCATGCTCTCCGTAGACTCATAAGGCCGTGCTTATAACCCAGATGATTAGTTCCTATGTTTTGCATAACCACGAGCAAAATTGTCAAACCAAAAACCGAACAATTGAATTAACCAGCAGATTAAAGGTAGATATCATCAAGGCCTATAATTCTCTACCCTGCACGCCCCCATTGGAGTGCGAGAGAAACTAGTCCCTTCTTGTAGAAATTTTCACACGTATTTTACCATCATGAGATCGTTAACCACCGCTGGATCAGCGCCAGGCTTTAGCGTCGTCATTAAGTATTTTGAGAGCTGTTCGTGAATCGTGTTTTTATTGTCCAGAGGCTGGTCGGTGATGAACACGTACTACAGGAAAAAATTGACAAAAACAGGATGTTAAGTCCAAAGTCCATCACTAAGAGAGTTATGTCACTTCCTACATTGCAAGTTCGTTGATATTTTACTATTCGTGTCAATCTCCTCTATTCTTGTCCCTTTTCGGTTTTTTCTCTGGTTTATGATTTTCCTCGCTCTGAGGGTAATTTTGAGCGTCACAGAAACGTAAGACAGATGTTAAACTAATTCCACAACAAGATGGACTTCGTTGATGCTCACCCTAAATGCTATGAGAGAACTGAACAAAGTTTAGTGAGAAACATGATTTATCAGGTAGGCAAAAGAACAGAAGAAATACAAACCTTCACATAAGAATTCAAAGCTTCCAGTCGGTTCGCTCCGTGAAGTTGCGCCGTGATTCGAATCAGCACCCTGCCACGAAACAGCAAGTAGATGAGAAAGCAGTAGTATAATAGGGCACTGTGCTACAAAACCAATCAGAGAGGAGTATTTTGCACGACATGGTACAAATAAACCAATCACATAGCCGGATTGGCTGTGGACCACAGTGCCTCCTTATACTACTGAAAGCTTTTTGAAAACAACTACTGAAAACTAGTTTTCAAGTGCTGGAAAAGGACAACCACAAACTTTTTTTTTTCCAGTTTCTACTGCTTAAGAGTACGTATGAAAATTTGCTTACCATCGTGAGATTCCACATACCTGACCACATTTAGAGAAACATCCTCGTTTTCTGTAACAACGAGAATATGAAACAACTGATCGAAGATAACTGGCAGGAATCTTGCCACCGTGCCTACAGCAACCGCGTTCAGCAGCTGAAAGAGTGAAATGGGGAGAAGTAAAAATTACGCGAAACAATTTTGGTAGCTATGCAAGATTGATCGCCAGAATATGACATTTATTGCACACGTAGACATCATGATAAAATTCAGAACTTCATTCCTTACAAGGTTTGTAGATAAACTACAAAAGAGAGTACGAGTGGGTGGGTGTGTAGGTAAGGAACAGTCACTGATGGCGGAAACGCCCGCCAAACAGTCAAATGACCCATTCCCATGCCCCACCTATTTCGTTTCACTGTGTCAGTGGAGAATGACATATCGTTACATGATTGCACACGATCTCTACCTTGAGAAGTTTGACCATCTCAATGTCCATGGCTGGCGATCCATCAAATCTCTGACAATGACGGAAAAAGTTGTCCACCTCTAGATCCTGCAGGCAATAAAAAAAAAATAAATTGGAACAAACAGACAGACAAAGAGAAAAACAACTTGACTACAGATAAATAATAGAAATGAATGGTGACAAGGATAACCGAGGAATTAAAAGCACATAATGCTTTCAAATAGAAAACGCTATGGCCGGCAAAACTTACCAGAGTGTTGACTGTGGAAACTAGTCGAGTGGAAACTTTGAACAGCGGTTTCTCTTTGTCGACCCATTTCAGATCGGGGCCAGTTGCCTGTAAGAAAATCAATTACGGAGTTAGTGATTCGGAAAACTGACGTTTTCTTATTTTGTTTCGGAGAACGTACAGAACGTAGGAATAATAACTGTTGTAGTCTTCTCCATTCCTAGAAATAGTGTTTTTCTTTCTGGCTTATTCCTACCAAGTTGTTTGTTTGTTTGCTTTTTTTCATTTATCACCAAACTGATATTTGGTGGCTGGTCTAAAGTTTAAGGCAATTTTGCGTGCTACAGAAAAAACATCGCAAATGCGACACTTAGCAAGTCCTTTAACACTACTACTCTATTTTCGAGAGTGAAATTGCAAATTCCAAGATCTCTCCATAAGACGATGAAATCCGAGGGAGAAATTTACAGACTCTATATCCACTTTTGCTTTCTCAATAATTCCATTACATCTTGTGTCAATGGAATTTGAAAGTAACATATTCTATCAAAACCTTGATTCAAAACCCGTCACGCAATAATTTACCACAATCCATCTCTTATTAAAAAGATGCTACAATGTAACTTAGGATTAACATTGAACTGTACAGAAAACGGTAGCTGAAACAATTTAGACTCATCTAGGTACCTTTTTCAATCCAGCAAAGTAGGCTGAAAGGTAGCCGCTGGGAGCTACTTGGCCAACTAAAAGATTACTTTCTTCCGTCTTCATGCTACGGAAAGAAAATTTACTTGTTGAGTAAATCATATGTTACGATTTCCGACAACGAAGAAACAACAGGATAATTTTCCTCCAGACTCAACAGATTAAAAAGGAAAGTTACTGGAGTTTTGCGCTGTGACAACAAAGAATAGACTTGTTCTTTGATCTCTGCTGGAAATGTGCCAATGTTAGAATGCGGGTTTCATATAGCAAATGGGTTCCACATTTGTTTGAATTTACAAGGAGTTCAAATGTCGACGGGGTCTGTTTTTAGACATAATTCAGGTCTAAGAGTAGAAGGGAAGGTCCCGATTTGTTTAGATTCAAACGTATTAACGACAGTGTCAGTTTATTAACGTCACCATTTCGTCTTGTATACTTACATTGACCCCTGTAGCACTGGCATCCATGCGTATCCAACTGAAGCGCAAATCGAAAGACAAAATGTGCTTTAATCAATGCATTTCGCGCATTTGCCCCCGTTGTTGCCCCGTTAAAATCCGTGCATTTTTAAAACAAAGCTTCGTCTCTCCTGCAATGTTTAAGTAACAGCTTCGATGACTTGGTTTGTAAAAATTTGATACATAACAGAAAAGTATCAAGATCTAAATCTTGGGGTGAAATCTCCTTTCAAGGGTTACATAACATTTAATAGTAAATATGATGAGGCTGGCTCTGCGAGACAACGCCGTGTTGTGAGTGGCTACTCGAGTCCATATTGCACGCTCGAGATTACCCGCGGGAAAAGAAGCTAACCGGGTTTTGGCCATTTAACTAAGACCGATTTAGTTCGCTCAAGATAGCTGGATATTGGTCATATTGCCGTTTGTAACGTCGCCGATATCCAGCCTTACTGCCTACACGCTCGGTCAATACGCTATGAGTCTTTTTTTTTACTGACCTGGTGTCTCTATAGGCTGAGGTTTACCCTTGACTGATCCTGTACCGCTGCTGCTCTTGGTCTGTTCACACGCAATGTGTTGGAATGTGAAGAACACATGATGCTTCTCTGTGAGTTGAGTCGGAAGCTTTATTTTCACCTGCAAACAAAACAACAATGGGTCACCCCAAGAGAAGGTGTGTTCGAGGCAGTACCATTCAGAGGGCATTTACAGCAGAAGACCTAGGATTTGGTTTGGCATGATGATAAAGGCAATGGCATTAAAACTTAACACGCCCGCATGCTAAAGATATACCAAAAGAGTTGCTTGGGTGCCGCATCAAAGTTGAACGGAGTAGCTTATAAGCTCTGTAGATCCTTCCAAACCAGCAGCTTATAGGCTCAGTAGATCCCTCAAAATCAGTAGTTGACAAAACTGTCGGTTGAACGACGAGTAGCATTTCCGAATAAAGGAGTGAGGATGTGAATAGCCTACGAGCAGTCCCCTCGGTATTAGCACTTGAGCACGAGCGATTCGCCTGAGGGAAAATATGAAACCTTGAGTAACGCGAGCCAGCGAGAGATCTGCAAAGGGTCTCGAACTGATAATAATTATTAGTGCCAGACCCCCGGCAAACTTCCTCGCTCTCCTCCCCAGATCCCACCCACGATTCGTCTCGAATGTTCCTATGGGTGGAGAAACGTGAATCCTGTAGTGATAATATAAAATAATTAAATTATAATATAATAATAAATGATAATTAGATAATTAATACTAATTAAACAATAGTTAAATAATTCTTGCACTCACCTCTTCGTAAAATGTGGGAGTTGTACAGTGATGAACAACGGCGGCGAAAGCATGCGTAGTGAACCCAGGGCTTCCTTTTTTCTTGTATATACACTGCAGAGAAAGAATTGTTTGTTGATACGATTATTTGATAGTAAAGTGAAGAAAGAATGATGGAAAAGTACTTCAAATGACTTATGCAATCTCGTAGAAAAAATGGATACCTTGAGAGGTTTCGCATTTTCATCATCAGAATCTCTGAATTCAATCTTCACAGAAATGTTTCTTGCCTGAACAGGAAAGATAACATAGCAAGTTACAGTAACTGTTATTTTAGGCGTGGCTAGGGTCCGTCTGAAGAAAAATATTAAGCCAGCATTTTACCTTGGAGAAGACTTTTTGATTGCTGTAGTTTAGAGAGAGAGGATAGACGTAGAAGTTGTTGACGTAAAAAATGTGCGGATGTGCAGCTTCAGGACACGACTCAGAGAATTCTTCTACTTCCACTGTGGGACGGACGTTTAGAGAATCATCCCACGGCTTCACGGGAACCAGTGATGACGTCAGTGAGTCTGTCGAGAAACAAATAGCCTATATAGCATGGAGGACGCAATAGTCGTATGATAAACACGCTCAATCTGAGGCTCGCTTCTTTATCAGCTAACTTTACCGGTCCAACGTGATATTTAAAAATCTCAATCGGGGAAAATTAGTCTGAGCCTTGGCTAACAAACCAATACATACTGTTTTATTTCCTATTATTATTTTCAGCATTTTAAAGCCACCAATCTCTGATCTCAAGTGTAAAAACGACCAACCGTCTGACTTTTAAAAACAGCATGTCCACTCGCCTGGCTTGATAAAATCGCACCTCTTCTCGTCTAGCTACTCCAGTACAACAACCAACGTTGGAAAATTTTCTACGCAAACTCGTAGGTTAAAATCTGACCGAAGGCGATAAAGTGTTTTTATTTGGTATCTTTGTCTTCAACACTCGTTATCTTTCAGATTTTTCACTTCAAAAAGTTTCGCTTACTTGGTATTCCTTCGAAATATTTCTTGACAGAAACCTGCAGCGTTCCTGGAATAGTCTGCTGCTTGAATTTTTCCTTTCTGCAAATGAGCAGACATAACCAAGTCTAAGAACCCCAAATATTATTTTTCCACGATCAGTGTGTCGGATTAAATGCAGTTAACCGCAATCATGTATATTAAGTAACTGCCCTCTTAAACCCTTTTCACCCTAAAATCAATATGCATATTCTCCATACTGTTCTCTATACATTTCCTAAGGTACTGACAAGGAGAATTTGTTTAACAATCAAGAACTTCTTTAGCTGATGTTTATTTCCTTTATTCTCCTGATCTTAACATTTGATTCAAGCATAATATTGTTAGGAGAAATTAGATGCTATTCACTCTTATACCCCATTCACACCAAAGCTTAAACATGCTTTAAAGCTGTTTTGTTAAACATGGTTTAACACAACAGCTCCATAGAAGCTGCTCAAATCAATATTTGGTTGACTTCAAATGTGGCACATTGAAAAATACAATTTAGCAATTGCTTGAATCTTGTGGAAAATTTAGTTTTTCAGTTCTCTGCTTCTGATTTTTATTCAGTTAAACCTGGTTTAACTAAACAAGTTTTCTGGTGTGAATGGGGTATTAGGTTTAAGTTTTCTGAAGGGATTACCCTAGTTAAATAAAGGTTTACTACTATAGTACGTTGCTAGATCTGTAGTCAAGTTAAACTTCGCGCTTAATGTTTCAAGAATTAGTTTTGAAGATGTGACTCACGTGGCGCTGTAGTTTGACAACAGTTTCAACACTTCTTCATCGCTGAGTTTTTCTCTGTCCTGTAAAACAAATATGGAAAGAATTGTCTAATCAAACTTCACCTTGCACTGAATTTTGAGCGAGGCAACAACAGTATGCTCCAGAAAGCACTTAACATTTATCTTTGCCTTTAACAAGGATATCAAAAACACATCTTCTGATGCGAACGAACCTGTTTGTAGATTGATGTTGACTCCCCTGTGTCCAGTTCCCCGTCGCCGTTGAACAACGGCCTAAGAAATGAGACATGAAATGTTTTGACATTAACTCAGTTGGATATAGAGCGCTTTTCGATCGACCGTCGTAAAACCAAATCAAAGGAATCACAACGTCCAATCAAAAGAAAGGAGAATTGGCTTAAGAGCCAGTTGCCTGAAGCGCGGAAAAACGCGGGTGACCAAGTTGTGATTGGTTTCAGTTTTACATCTGATTGGTTGAGAGAGTGGCGCGAGTTTTCCTGAACCAATCACAGAGCGAAATAAAGAAAAAAGCAAAGCAACCTGGGATTACTTTCGACACTCGATTGAAAGTTGCACTATTGTTGACCACACATGTGAGGTCTAGGCTTGCCATTACACTTTGTTTAACTCAGCAGTGATGCTGTTAGCAGAAATTACAAGCTTGTCATTCTAGAGAGTTGAAGGTTAAAGAAAGAAAACAAGAGGAGACACAAACACTACGGGTCAACCACGTAAACAATTCCTTGTCTATGTTCTATTTGCGTTTTTTTTTTCCCTTGATAACAAGGCAGGATGAACGGGACCCAGTCATGGTAACAACACTACACTTGATGTACTGAAACCAGCTATGGTAACAATACCACACTTGATGTAATGGACCCAGTCATGGTAACAAGACTACCCTTAATTTCCTTGACCCAGAAATGCCGGTTGCGTCCAAACATAGCATGTGGCACACTGGCCTTGAGAACTCGTTTGAATATAACCGTTAGACTAACTGTGCAATCAGCAATGAAAAAAAATATAAATAAATAAATAAATAAAAGCTAACCTTGCTGCCCAAGCAAATGGCATTGCATATTGTCCCAGACTTTTACAGCATATCTCGGCCAGCTTATGTGCCTTTTGTGCAATCTTTTTAGTGTCACCTGACTTGAGGTATGGTTCGACACAAGAACTAATGCTTCCTTGCAAAACTTTCTCTATCCTAATTACCAAGTAGACCTCCTGGTGGGGATTTGTTATGGAGAAAATTGCCTAACAAAAAATAATGCAAGATAGTGATAGGCATAGAGAAGAGGGCGACATTAAACGCGTTTTGCACGCGCATCAAACGCGTATGATTCCTGCGTGTTACCCATATGTTGCACGCTAATTATCCGCACATAATATGCAAAAAATAGGGGGTAAAAAAGTTCTCAATTAAACCGCGAAGTTTCACAAACTCGTCATACCTTTCTTGGACAGGTATATTCCAATTCTCGGCTATTCACTGCCGGATGATCCACTCCATTCCCATTTGCATGACCGTTCTCAATTAGATCCGAGCCGTGGAGCATTTCCTCGGTGGACGCGTCATTCAGATCACAGTGGAAATCTTCCGAAATCTTAGCTCCTAGTTTGGCGTCAAACAACGCAATAGACAAAAAGAATGGCTCAATGTTCGCCTCGCTGCAGTCATGCATAGTTCTCAACAGACGAAACTTCAGTTCCTCGCATTCTAACAATAAACGCATTCCAAAGTGTTGTTGGAAAACGTTCGCATCTATTCGAGCGTCGTCGTAATTCACGCAAGTACCGTTGTTGTCCAAGTCGTGTACTAGCGAAAAGAGTTTCTTCCGTCCATCTTTCCTTCGTTTCGCGTTCAAAACTTCTGTTTCCTTCGCAAATTCAAGAAGTTCTGGATGTTTGCTGCTCTTGAGACTTTCTCTTAAAGATTGATGCAGTTTCGGTGCTTTCACCTTACCAACTAAGTTGAAGCCGGAAGATTTACTGCTCGTGTCCATATCTATTCCAGTGACTTTGCACAGGGCTGAAATCCACGACTCCATGTCCGACTGACTGTCAGCAATCAAGGTATACAGTTTGTCTTGAATGTGAAGTTCAAATCCGTGCATTCGTCCCCTCACTCCCTGAAATATTGGTGATGATCAGTTAGTTCGCAACTATCGCCTTAGCCCCGGTTCCAAGGGTGGATAGCGCTATCCACTGAATAGATCTCTATCCGGTGGATGGCGCAGTGCGTTTTGGTAACACTTATCCACTAGACAGCGATTTGTCCGTTTGGATGGCGTTATCCGCTCTTTGAACAACCGGGGCCAAAACATTACAAACGTATCCACCACTTCAAACAGTGATGTATCCTGCATTCGTAGACCTGCTTGAAATCCAAGCTATAGCGGTGGCGAATGGTACCTCAAACCTTTAAATCCGAGGAATGACTTAAATCCAATTTGTCCTTCAGTACATGACTGAAGGAAATGATCACCAGCTAAGAAGCTCTAGTCTTGATTGTCAGATTAATTCTTCTCGTCTATATCTTAACAAATGTATAGAGAACAGTATGGAGGAATACAGTATTCAACATACATACTGATGTTACAGCTTAAAGCGCCCCCGGTTAGCTGAATGGATTAGAGCGCTGGACTGTTGAGCGGGAGGTCGAGGGTTTGAGCCACTCAAGGTCTTAAAATTCCTGAGGAGAATGTGCTACCTTTCTATAATATCAGGAAATGGATAGACATTCTAGTCTTCCCGGATAAGGACGAATAAACCGTAGGTCCCGTCTCCTGCAGGGTTAGGGGTAGGAGACGTTAATTTCCCACGCACGAGATCACTGTGTGATGAATGTCCTCCCCTGGGGTGGGATGGGTGGGTTGCAGTCCGTAATGTTCTGTTGAGAGTGAGGACTTAAACTGGTAAATGAATAAAGCGCTAAAAACTGCTGAGTTCCGCAAACTTTTGACCGATCTCAAAATCTCGTCAGGCCAAAATCTCGTCAAAATCTCTCTCGAAGTCTCGTTTGAGCCTTCACACCTCTGACATCAGTGAGCATAATTATTCGCTCATACTATCCTTTAGACATTTCCTACAATTCTGAAAAGAGAAATCTGTTTATCAATCGAGAGCTTCTTTAGTTGGCGATCATTTCCTATACTGTCATGCCGTTAACGTTTGATTCTGCGGATGACAATGTAAAAAGAAATCAGACGGTACTCGGTCTTTAGGGGTTAAAGATTCAAAGTGTATGTTATTTCAATTTCAAGTCTAACATTTCTTCCAAAAATTCTCAAGGTCTGGGAGTTGTTCTTTGTCATTGCTGGAATCTTGGTCAAAAGGTAACTACGTGTAGAGTAGCTTAGCGTTATCGTCGCTGTCGTACATGTATAATGATAGAACAAAAAAATAACTTTACCTTGGTAATGTGAGTACACGCATCTAAATAAAGCACCCCTCTAGCCATACTGGTGTTGAGATCATCCTGGGTAAAACACCAAAAAGCATAAGTCATAACCGTTATGGTTACCATTCTATTAACAATACAAATAACAATAGAGAGATTTAGTTCCGCGTTTACATGAAACGCGAACAGAAGGAGTGACCACGTGACCTTATTTTTCCCCGCCATTTTTTCACGTTTGCCGGCTACGCTTTGCCGTTTCTGCGAGAAAGTTGTAACCTGTTTCGCGTTTGCCGTGTACGTAGGATTTACTCCCCTTTTTCTCTTACAGAGTAGAAGTTAATTGCCGGAAAAAGCGCGCCAAAACTATTCCTTGTAATTCATACAAGGGTACATTCAAATCCACCATGACGCCGGTGAGCTCACGCAAAGCTAAAGCAGTAAGGTTCACGCTATTTTACGTGAAACGTGAAACGTGAAAGGGTAAGCTGACGTTTGCCGTTTGACGTAAACGCGGTGCTAAATCTCTCTAATACCTCTCTGACACTCCTGGGGCTTTTCAGTGACAATGCAAGACAACTGAACTAATTAACTTAAAAAAGTAGCTTACGATTTAATTAAAAAGGAAGGACGCGATAAACAATAAACTATTCAAAATTAATTATACAGTAACTACTAAAACATAATAGCAAACCATCAAATCATGCTATTTAAAATGGCAGTAATCAATTTATTTTTCAAGTAAAACTAAAAAGTGGAATTCGATTTTGCAGTTTGGAGAGTACTATCTAATTTGTTCCAGATTTGCACCACATGGTTGTGAAATGTTCTCTGTCCGGTGCTCGACTTTAACTTCCCATTACAATCATCGTTTCAACAATTATCAGTTGTGTTCCCCGCTACTATGATGCTGTGATTTCAATAAAAGCCCATTACCGACGCGGGTTTACCGGCGCGGGTTTGCCACCGCCTGTAAGACATCTAACCACCGTCTGTTGAGACTGCGAGCAGGCTCGCGTGCACAGCCTCCTAGTTCACCATCGGCAGGCGCTTATGGAAAAAGTTGTTGAAAGTCCTGTTCATGGGTAGAGGTCATCGTACTCGTTGTCGTGACATGGTTAATAAATACCCAACAAGATATCTCGTTCCTGATTGATAAACGGCTCGTGCAATAAAAGAAGCGGGTTTAAAACATCTCTTTTGCCCATAAATCACGAAGTGCACTCACGTTCATGTGATTTTCCTAACTTACCTTTATCATCGTTATCCCTAATGTTATGTTGGCTAACTACTTCTCACAGTTGCTACTTTTCATAGAATAAAAACATGGTTCTACTACCCTCTTGTATTCCAAAACGTACGAGCCATCGTTTGATATTTGCTTTAAATTAAACCATCTTCGCTTGAAGTTCTGCAGATTGAGGTTTACATTGAGAATAACAGGAAAATCAGTTTCCATCGATAGGGCAGTTTTCAACTGAGTTTCGAAAAGCACCCCCGAGTAATGGTTATGTATAGCGAAAAACGTCTGGAGGGGGTGGGTGTGGGGGGGGAAGGTTACTTAGATCAATTTTTGCCGAGCATCTGCTGCTGGCTTCTCTGACCCCAATCCCATAAGCCTCTTCGGTGACAAATTAGAGACACCATTCTAGTCACTTCTGGTAATAAGGTTACCACTTTTTATTCACAAATCTTCCCTATTTACCAGTACTTTCTTACCCCAAAAATCCCGAAAATGTGCGACCCTATGGAAAATGAAACTCTTTGATAGTCAACCCAGTTGTGAAAATGCGACTCCATCTCCTTTAGCCTATTACTAGGAAGAACTCCCTCTTGAAAAATTTCGAACAAGAAACAAACGAAAGTAAATCCAAAAGCACAAGTGTGTACCTTTGCTCCGGGTGTACCGTTACTTTCACCATGGAATGGGGCCTTGGTAAGGAAGCCCTGTTTGGAAATCCCTTTTTCGCGCATTGGGCTCATTGGTACAGCCTATGAATCAAAATCAGTCATTGTTAGAGAAAATTCATCTGCCCCAAACCCCTGGGAGGGCTTTTTGGGCTGCAAATGCTTTTAATGGCTTCTGTTACCTCTATTTCAAACCAGTCAATTATTGTCAGTCAAAAGAATCTTATTGATTTAAACCCTTTCACTCCAAAGACCTCATTAGAGCTTCTCCTTACTATCTGCCATGTAATTCTTGTCATACATACATACATACATACA